GCGGTCGAGCTGTCGTGCGGGGTTCCACAAGGGTCCGTGCTTGCGCCACTTTTGTGGAATGCAATGTACGACGGCGTCCTCCGGCTTCCACTACCAGGGAGAACGGAGATTGTGGGCTTCGTAGACGCCATAGCGGTGGTCACTGTCGCAAAGGAGATCGTAAGAGCAGAGGAGACTAGCAGCCAGAGTATCGCCATCATCAAGGAGTGGCTGTCGAACGCCGGATTGCAGCTAGCGCCGCAGAAAACCGAAGCCGTCCTGGTGAGCAGCAGGAAAAAGGTGGAGGTGACAAGCGTTCGGGTCTGCGATGCAACGGTCAGATCTTCTAGAGCTATTAAATACCTAGGAGTGATGATCGACACCAGACTCTCCTTCAGGGAGCATCTGACATACGCAAGCTACAAGGCTGCCACGACGGTGAGAGCGCTGTCCAGGATCATGCTGAACCACCATGCCCCAAGGCAAGCGAGCAAGCTCCTTCTAGCAAGCGCAAGAGCACATAGTTTAAATATATTCCGGCTTGGTTTTCATTTGTCCAATTTATTGGCGCTCTAGGGACAAAGTAACGGAGGAAACCGCACGGTCTACCTGCTAGCACCCCCAAGCTATTGGCGCCAAAAATCGCGGCGTGGGACGATAAGACACAATTGATAATTTGCTTATACATTTTCGATTGCCTGAATAGCAAGTCGGTATAAAACACTGATAAGATATACTGATAAATACTAGAATGAACCGAGCCTGTTGGTAATTTAAATTGGGTGAATTTTCTGTCGAAAGTATAGCCTAGTACTCTGACGACGAAAATCCGCTATAACACGTGCTATAGCGGAATCGCTCTTTATTTGGCTCGGTAACCAGTGTGACCAAAAAATTAAGGAAAAGCTATGAAACGCCAAGAAAATATACCTTTTACGGCGTTTAAGGCTTTTCTTTGGTCACACTGGACAGCTGTTTGTAAACAAATATTTAAAAAAAATATTTAAAATATTAATAAATAAGGCATTAAAATGCCCTATGTGGGTTAAATTCCATATTATGGGCTTCGCCTTGACAGCCCCTATCAATGCCACTTTTTTTTTTTCCTTCAACTTTCCTTCCATTAGAGGTGTAAGAATAAATCAAATAAATTATTGTTACACGCCGAGATCAGCTGTTTACTATCATGATCTGGCAACGCCATTCAATTTTCGCAGGCATAATTTTCGTCGTCGGAGTACCGGCAAAATCGACGAGGCACAACTTTCTTCTTCTTCCTTTTTTTACACCTTTTTTTTTATATGGAGTTTGGCCGCTGCACTATGGGGCGAACGACCACTTTTTGTGGCATTAATTAATAACTTTAAGACGAGTTAAAATTTTTAAATTCTAATTTTTGAATCAAGTTTAATATAAAAAGAGGAAAATATTTTACTAAAAATGGGCGTGGTCTCGCCTTTTTTTAAGGATTAAAATTTTTTTTCAGTGCTTAAAATTTTTTTTTTTTTTTGCTATTTGTATGTATAATAAATAAGTATTGCACAATAAAACAAATATGTAAAAATTGTCTTCTAAATATATTTTTTTAAGTCAAATCACATAATTTTTCTTTTGCTTGGGCAGGCGACCAAGCATATGCAGTACTCTAAGATTCTGCAGCCTCTTATTCAAAAAAACTTAAATGAAACAACCTAGTTTTCTGTAATATGACTTGAATGTATACAGATTTATTGTATCATGAATAAAAACTTCAATATCTTTACCAATTTTTGTTGTTTAAACGTTCTAAAGGGTAAAAAACTCGATATTTTTCAGATATAAGGTTATCACCTTTAAATTTAAATTTCAGAGAAAGTGCGCAAAAGTGCACCTTGATACTCACAGAATATAACAAGAATTACCAAATCTACAATATATATCCAATTTTAGAGGTGGACTGTGCTCACTTTATAACTCAATTTTAATATTGGACTACACTTAAATTTTATATAATTTATAAGGGTTACAAATTATACAAGATTACGAGGGCACCATATTACATTTCTGGAGTTAAATTCCGCTAACATATATTACGAAGCACCATGAATGAGATTGCATAAAAAAATTTGCATTTTATTTAGATTTTTTACATTTTTTTAGCATTTAAAATTTGTAGAATAAAAACGCGATTTAACAGCGCTCGCTTCTCGTTGCATTAACAGCTAACTTTAACAGCGAATAACTTAACAGAGCGCGTAAATGTTAATTTTTTTTGTGTATGTAACAGTTAGATTAATGTTATAAGAATACATTCCGGTTAAAAAAAAAGTATTTTAACAACTTTTCAAAAATGGGTTTATGCCAGATAAGGTGGTCGTTCGCCCCATAGTGCGCTGTAACAAGTGTAATACGGTCTTCACACACAGCGCATCTGTGAGGATCGTTTGGGATTTTTCGCAGATGCGAAACTCGTGTTCCCACAGAGCTGCATCAAAGTGCATCTGCATCCGAACAGCTGATCGATCAGCTGTGGCTCATGAAAACGTAAACAAAGGCTGTCGAATTGGTAGTTGCAAAATTGAAATGGAGCATTTACCAACTATTTTGGCTGTTGTACAACAACAAAAGCGCAGATTGCGTAAAATTTTATCCGCACTAACTAAAAATGAATTAGATGACGAGGAATTTGAGTTCCTCTAATGATTTTTCTCTAACAAAGAGCAAATTTCCCAATGAGTGTATATAGGTAGTATAGGCTTCCCAAATCTATAATTAAAGAAGAAGTAGGCGTTTTATATTAAGTAGTAGTAATTGGGGACAATTTGGGGCAAGAATATACAAAAAAAAACGCCAACAACTATTTTGGGCATGCTTGTAGATTTGGCGCCACATTTTAACTTCCATATTTCAATCGTTCCTCGCCAAGTGTGTATACACTTTCGTAGTGTTCGTCAAATTTTCACTGTTAAGAAGAAGAAATCAGAGCTGCACCGAAAAACTATCGCCTAACTATCGCCAAACAACCGGTCGTTAGATTTTGATGCGCTTTGATGCCGGTCCATTTGGGAAAATTCGGAACGGCAAAACTTTATGGTCCGTTTGTTCAACGGACGGTGGATGCGCTTTGACGGTGTGTGGGAAGACCGAATAACCTTTCCATGAGCTATAGAACACTTTCGATTAAATCGATTCTGAAAATGTTTTCCCAGAACCATTAAATCGGATGGTGGAAGCTATAACACGTGTTACACCGGATTTTCGTTGTCAGAGTACTAGGCTTATACAAAATTTAATCTTTCGACTGCCCCCTTCGGAAATGGTTCAAGGCCTGTACGGAGTAGGGAAACAATTTTTGTCGTCAAAATGTCTATATTTCGACCACGAGCTTGTGTGACTAGGTTTTAGGATATTCATCGGAAATCTATAACCTGTAATCTAAGCGGGTGTGCTTGTTTGTTTAAAAATCAAATTTAAATTAAAAATGCACCATGGTACTTTTATGCATGGAATTAAAGGGGTCTTGGGCTGTGTGCACTTGCTGTGGCGGTGGAAGGGGAAGCATTGAACATGCCTTTCAAATATTGTGCGCGAGATGGTATTGTTCAATGCTGTTAATTTGAACTTGTACCCAATATTAATCAATAAACAAGGCTCAAACACAATAACGCAAGATACTGTTTTGACCGACCTACTAGCCTGACGCCGAAGACGCCATTTAGACTTTAGTATGGGAAAAATCAAGTAATAGTGCCGGGCCGCTAAAGATTATGCTTTTCATACTTTTGACAGCGCTAACTATTAATTCTAGTTTTTCATTCTAGTATTTTTGAGTATGTATCTTATCCGTGCTCCATACCGACTTACTTAATTGGCAAGAGAAATCTCGCATTTACAGAGATTCGAAATTTGAGCTCTGTTTCTTACGGTTTTCATCGTAAAATGCTGCCAACCAGGAAGTGCACAAAATGCTCGCGTTTTTTGTTAAATTTTTTGTTTGAGCGACTTTTCTCCATTTTCGAAGGGGGCAGTCAAAAAATTAAGTTTTGTACAGCCTTAGTCGAAAATGCATCCAAATATAAATATAAATACAAATATTGGAAACAGTTATGGTACCATATGCTGAAGAAAATATGCCATTACGTTGGGTATTTCAGCAAGACAATGATCCTAAGCATACATCAAGGCTTTTATCTAAATTCTTTGAAGACCAAAAAGTTGACGTTCTGAAGTGGCCAAGCCAATCCCCCCGACCTAAACCCCATAGAAAACTTGTGGGGAGACTTAAAAAAGAAATTGGCAAAGTATTCATTTTCAAATAAAGCACAATTATGGGATGGTGTCCAAAAATTGTGGTATGAAACACCAGTAGAAACCTGCCAGGCTCTTATTAAAAGTATGCCAAAAAGAATAGCAGTAGTGACCAAAAATAGAGGTGGATACACTGGATACTAAGTTAGTAAATACAAATTTAGAAAAAAAAAACGCAAAATATATATTTAAATTTATTTTTCTCATCAACAATTGAAGTGTACCTATTATTTTGATCAGACTGAAAACGTATCTAAGACACAAAACGATCTCCTTTTTGTTATATTATTATCCTATGTTACAATGAAGTTTATTTGATTAAAAACAAATAGTTTAAGAACCAATGAGACCAAATTTTAAGTTTAAAATAATGAATAAAACTATTTTCTGTAACCTTAAAGTCTGAGTTGATGTATGTACCTATTAATATGATCAGGTGTGTACCTTATGCCCGTGTTAATTCTAGTTTTAATCAGAATTTATCTTATCGGTGCTCCATACCGACTTGCTAAAGAGGCAGTTGAAAATGTATTAGCATCCCTCTTGGAGTCACAGGGTTCCAAACTTGAACGAGAAGGATAGAAATTTTGGAATGAGGACTTATTTGAGTTTCGATCATCCGTAATGTGACGCATTTCACAAAGTGGTTTCTATTATTGTATAAGCTTTTCCGAAATTTATGAGACTACTCAAAATAATTTAAATAAGTTAAGTTTTCTTTGTTTTTATTTCAGAGAACAACAGTTACTGAATATATTTGAAGGTGTTATAACCACCCTAGAAGGAAAACTCCATCGTATTGATAATCTCGATAAATCCGTGGATATAATAATGCAACACATTGAAGTATTGCAAAACCAAATGATCAATAATATGGTGAAAACTGATTTAATTATATCTCAGCTTCATAATATAGAGGGTAGCATTGTCAATAGTTTACCTGAACTGAAATTACCGCGCATAAATGTTAGCCACAGTGCAAAATCTAAACAAAATTCTTCAAACTTACTTGAGGAACAACTCAGAAAGTTGGATCGTAAAGTATCTGGTATAGATACTAAGCTAGAGGGTCTTAAGGTTCAAATAGATAATAATTTCTTACAAGTTGAAGAGTTATATGGCGAAGCTAGTGAAAAGAAGCCAGTCACTATAAGCGTACATGACATTTCGAAAGCTTTAAACACTGAAGCTATGACACATATTTCATCAGAATTAAATGAATTTAGACATACAACAGAAGGCATAGATAAAAAGATACAGTTTCACATTAACATGGTGTCAGAGAGTATTGGAAGAATAATACGTATGCTACACGATATTCATTTTGCTGTAGTTGATAATCACGAGCAATTTAACACTTTTAATATAACAACAACGTCGCAGCCTCCTGTTAAATCCAGCAAGCTAGATGCTCTTGTCAAACAAATAAGACCAATGGTTTTGGTATCAGAAAAAATGGATGAAGTTTGGGATGTCGTAGTCGGCACAAAATCGACTGTAGAGCATCTTCTTCCCAAGTCTGAAGCGCTTCTTACACAAACTCAAAGACAAGAACGAGCAATAGATGAAATTCACCAAGATCTTAAAACAAAAACCAATCTGATCATTAACAATTTAGATATGGTGGAAAAGCGTTTAAAAAAAAAGGAATCTGATGAGCAAATAATAGCTGAGTTGTCTGAGCCTCACTCCTCGGATCACTTTAATGAATATGAATCTAATAAGTAAGTACTTAGTACTTAAATATTATTAAGTATAAATTTATCATCAATTAATTTTTTTAAGCCACACTGTCATCGATAAAACCTTAAAAGAAACAACCTTTAATGCATCTGGGTCATATTCCTATGTTCAACCGTCCACAGTGAACAGTGATTCACCTGCACTTTTTACTTCTACTTCTGGGGATGAAATAATGACTCCATTACGTTCAACATTTTATAATGGCAATACATCGAACACTCAAGAAGGTTTAATAAATGGATCGTATACTGGATCTGATACTGCTGGTGGTTACCCAACCGCATCAAAAATAATTCGAAAAGATGGACTTATTTTTCCTAGCATTAAAAATAAGCCATCTATTATTAATAATTCTATAACCAGTGACATTATAGCCCTAAAGGATATCAAAGTAAGTATAAGTATATTTAACTAAAACAAATATATATATATTTTTTTTAACTGGCTCTTTATACATATACATTAAAAACCTTACAGACATAGTTCGCAAATACTTGTTGACCTATTCGTGCGATCTCAGAAAAACTGTTATTTTCATTGCATTAGAGCGAAGATCTTTGGAGCAGCCGATTGAATTGCTTTTATACAAACTTTTCTCGCAATCAGCTGACAAGCAGTTTTTCCCGTTCTCTTTTGCTTTGCCCATTCACGGTACGTTTGCTCTTGAGCGATGTGTCAAAGAGCGTTTTGCGCATGTATGTGTGTATGTGAAGTTTCCCCAGCAAGCAAAGTTAGTAGGGCTCTAAATTATGTGTCCGAAAAGAGCCGATTTTAAGAATGTTTACTGAGTAGGCACATAAATAAGAGCATTTTTGGGGGTTGTTCCACATAGGCTCAAAAAGAACTCATATGTGTGAGCATATTCGGAGCTGCGTAAGTAAGTACAAAGTAAAAACCTCGCTTATAATAACGGTGTGTAGATTGCTTATCGCAAGATGGTCAAAAATTGACCATTTTATTTAGTTCGAACATTGAAGAAGTGCAAGTTGGACGTGCTTAAGAAAGTGTTTAAAAGTAAGTCAAAGAAAATGTTTCAACACAAATGTATAATTTAAAGCCAAAATGAGTGTCCAGAGATCAAGCCGGTCAGAGTGTAAAAAAATAATTATTGCCCTGAAGGCAAAGAATCGACGATGTGAGGATCCTCTGCCATCAGAGCTAGACGTATTTAATGAACCTCGAATGGATTCAGGACATCATTTACCAAAATGTTTTTCTATGTTTTTAAAATACCGTTTTTTATTATTCTTTTAAGGTTAGGTTAGGTTAGGTTAGACCGGACGGCCCTCGAGGGGCCACACATAGGCCAATATGGCCCATAGCTATCCGGGGAAACTCCTGGATGGACCTAGAGACTATTTATGCGGGTTTCGAGATCCTTGAATATCAAGGTGTTTTTCGCAAAGGCAAGGAGTTCGCCTGGCTTCCTCCTGGAGGCATCTTCTAGCGATGCCAGAACTGGAGAGCCTAGGTATCTCATTCTTGCCCTCGTTAGGGCCGGACATTTGCAAATGAGATGCTCCAAGGTTTCGATTGCCTCGGATTCATCACATTTCCTGCATTTGGCGTTGTCGGTAATACCCAGCTTGACTGCATGTGCAGCAGACAGGCAGTGACCTGTTAGAATACCCACTAACATTCTGCAGTCCTTTCGCGGAAGATGCAGCACGTAGTGGGTGAGTTTCTCGTTGTGTTCTTTGCACATGATTTTTGTTATTCTGCAGGTTGCGGAATTACTCCTCCACCTGCTTTTTGCGCTTGCGTCAGCCCGTCTCTCTAGCTCGCTTTGGAGCGTTCTTAGGGAGGTAGGGACGTTTTCTGTTCTTTCACTCGCCAGTCCAACGCCTTCCTTTGCAAGTTCGTCCGCGGTTTCGTTACCGTCTATGCCTTGGTGGCTGGGAACCCAGTAGATCCTCACAGACTTAGTCGTGCTTAGGCTATCTAGACTCCCTGCTTGCCAGTACATTTTTGGAACAGACCGCTGATGATTGCATGGATCTTATCGCCGCTTGACTGTCTACGAACAAATTGACCGCCTCATGTGGACGGTTTATGCTCTGCGCAAGCTCTGCTGCTTTCCTGATGGCGAATACTTCCGCCTGGTAGCTTGGTAGCTTATACTGTTCAGACCCTGAAATGAGGCTGTCGTCTCATTTCAGGGTCTGAACAGTATATGCCCGCTCCAACTCCTCCTTCCATCTTGGAGCCGTCGGTGTATATATTGAGGTGATGAGAAGAGTCCTGGCCTGACTTCCAGTCATTTGGTCCTATGAATACTGTTGTGTTTACATCCGGGCACGTTCTGGGTATCATGTAGTCAGATGTACTGCTCATGTGTCGACCAATTGAACTGTGCCCGAAACCTTGTAGCGACCAGTTTCCTGATGCAACCAAACGTTGTGCCGCCTTTCCTGCTGTCAGTTGCGCTTGGATATCTAGGGGATATATACCGATTATGGTTTCGAGTGTTTTGATTTCCCCTTCGTGTAGGCGTGCTGGTTGGTCGACAGTTGTCTCCCCACATCGTTGCTGATGTATAGGTCCAGCAGCTTTTCCAGCGTTTTGAGTAGGAATGAGGTGAGGCTTATCGGTCTGTAATCCTTGGGGCTCACGTGGCTGCACTTTCCTGCTTTGGGCAGGAAGCTGTATATATTGCGTAGAGCCATGGGGTGATCACCTCCTTGGTCACCTGCAGCATGGCTGGGAATATTCCATCTAGTCCTGGTGCTTTTATCCTCGCAAAGGAGTCTATAGCCCAGTGGATTCTACCAGAGGATATTAAACCTTTTGGGAGATGCTCTACTCCAGTTGCTAGGTCCTGGTGCTTATTTGCATCGGGTACCTCAGTGCATCCTGGGAAATGCGCGTGCATTAGTGCGGTTAGGGCCTCTTCGCTGCCCTCAGTCCACTGTCCGTCGTCGCGTTTGAGCTGACTCTGTATGGTTGACTGCTTCGATAGCAGCTTCCGGAGTCTAGCTGTTTCCGGGGCAGTCTCTATATTGGAGTAGAAGTTTCTCCATGAGTTTCTCTGCGCCTTGCGTATTTCCTTCTTGTAGTCCCTAAGTAGGACTTTGTATTCCTCATTGATGATGTCATCTTTCGCCTGCTTGGCGATTTTGAAGAATTCTTTAAGTTTGTTGCGTCGGAGTGAAAGGTCCTTATTCCACCAGGGTGGCCTGGTCCTCTCGTGTCTCGTGTCCGATATAGGGCATGATGCGTGGTACGCATCCAGCAGTTCTTTGGAGAGGGTCTCTATGGACTTTTCTATGTCTTCCGCGGATTCCACTATGCCCGGAGAGATCGCGAGCCGTGTCACGATAGTCTCCTTGAACTTTCCCGAGTTAGTATTCCGGGGGTTCCTGAAGACTGATTGTTTTGGAGAGTGTTCGAATGCGTATTGGAACCAGAGAGCGGCAGCAAACCACCGGATCAACCGGACCACCGGATAAACACCGAGTATTTTTGACACCCGAGTTATTTTTCGGCAACGAGAATAGGGTGCGAGTAAACACTCGACAATAATTCTCGTATATTTGTGCACACAAGCGTAGTTCGTCTACGAGTCTTATTTTGATTCGGTGTGTGTGTTGATGTTGAGCGAGAAATGCTCGAAAGAGAAGTGAATAAAAGCGAGAGCACAATACTCGAGCCTAAAACAACACCCGGTGACTAGATGCTCTCGTTTATTTTTGTGATTCCTTTTGCAATCTGGTACAACCAAAATTCATTTAAGTAAATTAAAAGAACAGTATACATTTCCTGATTTCTTGCTCTTTTAATTAACCAAAAATAATAACATATATATGGTACATAGTTCATTCTATATTTCGTTGACACATAGTAAAAACACCGAATGCTAATCGAACGAGTGGGTAAAGCACACAAAAACTACTCGGGTGACTTCAAAACACCCGAGTATTTTTTGTGTGCTTTACCCACTCGCTCGTTTATTTATGTGTGCTTCAACTACTCGCTCGTTTAGTTTAGTTTAGTTGTGAGTGCCACCGGCACCGAGCAACGAAAAGTACCGGGTGTAAAATGAATAAAAACAATCGCTGAAAACGTAATCGGGTGCTCGGTAGACATGCCACTCGTTATACTCGTGCAAGTTTATGTGTGTGCGACTCGTTTACTTTATTTGCCGGTGGTAAGAAACACCGGCACCAAAATTTTGACAAGTGTGAATAGAGTTGTCGAAACAGGCACCCTTGCCGTTCTCTGATTGGAACCGTATGTACTTATGATCTGAGAAGGATGGTCTTTCAAGGACTCTCCATTCTGATACCAAAGTACCTTGTCCCCTTACCAGAGTAAGATCTAGCACGTTCGAGGAGGTAGGACCTACATAGGTGTGTTCCTCCCCCACGTTTGCTATACTCAGGTTGGTTGAGAGTATAAAGTCTAAGAGGGACTCACCTCTGTCGTTTATGTCGGGGCTAGTGCTGGAACAAACATCGATGTTTATTCGATACAATCGATGTTTCTAAAAAATCGTCCAACATCGATGTTTACTAGTTAAACATCGATTAGTTTTAACTGTCACTTGAAAACCAAGCAAGAAGGTAAAATTGGCATACTAGATCAAAAAACTGGGTATTTTTTTCAAGCCGGAATGCCGAGCAGGCAGCAATTGCTTTGGAGTTCAAGCTTTATTAGTATTTATTTATCCAAACACTCCAGCGATGAGCAGCCAACATCATTTCCTAAATAATATCAAATAAAAAATGGCAGAACAAAATAGATTTCCTTTTTTTATAAACATCGATTATTAATCGATGTTTTTTATGAAAGTACTCACAAACATCGTTGTAAGCAAACATCGATGTTTTTCCAGCACTAGTCGGGGCTCCCCCATACGCAGTGGTGCGCGTTGGCGTCTGCACCCACGAGCAGTTGCTGGTCCTTCGTTTTGGCTTCTACCAAGCTCATGAGTTCTTCTGGTGGGGCCGTCCTGTCGTGTGCCATGTAGCAGGATGCTACCAAAAGGCGCTTTTTTTCGCTCTCTAGCATCACCACGGTCAGGTCATCAATGCTTTAATGAGACATAAGGTTAGCGTGTAGACCCTTCCGTACAAGTACGACGTTTCTATTTCTGCTTACCGTTGGTGGATGGAACAAATTGTAATTTGCTGACTTTAGGCCAGCGATGGCAATGCCTGAGGCGATCCATGGCTTCTAGACCAAAGCTATGTCGGCGGATCCTTGCTCCATGGCTATGAGGAGTTCCGCCGACGCGACCTTGCTCTTATGGAGGTTGAGCTGCAGCACCCTGAGTGTCATGGGTACTGGCCTCACCTCCATACGACGGGTTGACTACTACGGTCAGGTCACCGTCCTCTCCTTCGTCGGACTCATCCAGCGTCATTTCCCGGTCGGCATCCATGATGTTTT